AAAAGAAAAAAAAAAAGAAAAAGAAAAAGAAAAAAAAAAAGCTTCAGAAATTAAGTTCCATTTCTTCCAGAGTTATCAATATGAACAGTAAAGGAAATAATTACAACTAAACTATTGATTTTCTGATCTGTTTTCTAGCCAGATAGTCTTTAAAATTTTAGAAATCATTATAAATCTTTATCATTCCATAGTTTTCCTGTAGAAACATCGTGTCATGGTTATAGTAGTACATGATAAGAATATTATAAATAAAATGGAATTGATCACATTCTAAACTCACTGATACATGCTTAAAATATTATTATTGTTATTCCATTTTCAACATTTATAGTACTTCCTGATAAGTCCAAAGGTGTAAAAAATTAGTTTGGTTTTGAAAGATTGTCTAGAAATTTTAATTTTATTTTAAGAGACATCATATTTAGTTCAAAGTACCAGAAAGGGACTAATAAAACTTTGTTCTAACCTGATTTTTCCAATTCCTAGTTTGGGGCAAGTCACTTCCTCATCTATAGAATAAGGAGAACAACACATATAAGATCAAGTTCAACATAACATGTGCAGCAGTGCTTTGGAGATTATGTAGCATGAGTTCCTGGGGGGCACATAACGGGTGCTTTATAATTATACCTTGAATAAATTTGTTGAATAAATAAAAATTAGGGTTATTTATTTATTTATTTATTTTTGCCCTGCCTTCCCCCCAAAAGTTAGGTTTTAGTATCTGTAATATACTGAGCCTGCTGATTTCTTGAGAAAATTTTATATAAATGGAAATTCTAAAACAATTTGGAATTTTCTCAGGCATGGGTTAATAAATGAATTATTTAAAGTTATCTGAGCTATAAGTGTACATTCTTCTTGAGTAAAATATCATTTACATTCTCCTAGATGTTTTTGACTGGAGAACTGGAAAGGCAAGCAGTTTGACTTAGTGTTTCATAAATTTTAAAGGCAAAACGAAGGTTCATCAGGATTATGTTTATTCCCCTTCACTCTCATTCCTGTGCACAGATTCTACCCTCACTTCAACACCCACTCTAAATCTCACTTTTTGTCTTGTATAGTATTAAAATATAGTTATAATTTTGTCTAAAGATAAAATACAATATTATTTGTATTATTTATTTCTACATTAAAATTTTTGTTTTGCTTTGTTTTTTAGCTTACAAGAGAAATACTTATTAAAACAAAAAGTAACCATTATGAAGTAGTGTGCACAGAAATTGAATGCTGTCCATATTGTCATGCCTCAAAAACATCTACTGTTAATACTTTGTTGTACATTATGTCATATTCTTTCCCCATGCATTGGGTAACACATCTGTATATGTATACATGTGTGTGTTAGCCAATGCATGGGAAATTTTCATATGTGTGTATATACACATATATGTGTATACAAAAATAAGATTAAACTACATATGCAGTTTTTCTCTTAATAATTTATCTAGAATTCTTGCCACCTCAGTATTTATAGATTTACCTCACTTTTTGTATAACTCTATATTATTCCTTTGAATGGATATACCATGTTTACTTAAACATTTCCCCATCTATAGACATATAGTTTGTTTGCAGATTTTCACTATTATAAGCATTCATGAAGTAAATAGGCTTTGCTTTTATGTTTGTTTAAGTTATGGGCATTTTTCTATAAAATGACTTCCTAAAAGGACTTGCAAGGTTAGACGTTATTTAATGTTTTTAAAAAAAATTTATCCTTTCCCCTTTCTGCAAACTTCTTCAAAAACAAAGTGTAATTTAAGCAAATGAGTTGCCATTGTTTTAAGGGTAGATTAACCGAAAATAGTACTTAACATTTTAATTCTCTTAATTTCCTATGCAATGTTTTGGCTTCTTTTTTTCCTTAAATTACTATTTACTAGAAGAACTGACAGGGAAAGACAAAGTATTTGATAATGGGTTTCATTCTGACTCCAGTAACCTAAATTATATTCCCTAATATATTTATATAGGTATGTTGATTTATAATTTAGTTGTATGATCAAATCAATTGAAGTAAATTGAAAGTAAATCATTATGTTGACTCCCTAGGGAACAGTATACCAGAAATATTGCTGAGCAAGAAAACCTTGGAAAGGTAAGAATTATTACTTATTTTTTTAAATGTGTCTAACTAATTCATATTTTCCATACTACACATGGTTATGACATTGTCATTCTTTTCAGAAGGTTTTACAGGGGAAATGGTTAATTCCTTTCAAAGATGAAGACCCTTTTTTAGTAATTTAGTTTTATAGAAATAAAGGCACAATGGATTTTTGAAAGGAAAAAAAAGAATCACCTAGTTTTAAATAACAGTTTATGGTAATGTTCTGTACTATAGTTTTCAGATTATTCTTGGATATCTCTGTTTATGAGATACTTATAAATTTATTCACTTATTTAATAAACACAAAGCTCTTACTGTGATCCAGGCACTGGTCTAAGCCCTTTCTAACCATTGATTCATTTAATACAAATAATTGAAAAACCTTACTTGCAATATTCATCTCCCTCCCTGCCAGAGCTGTCTGAGGGCTACTGAAACAGGAGTGTATGACTGAATATTATTTTCTCAGTTCTTTGAGCTACTTGTGGAAGAAATGGTGTAGGAAGGGCCTTGACCATCAGGACTTAAATGACCAACTAATTAATTATGCTAATAGGCCTCATAAAACAACACATTTGACAATCATTTTAAAGACACAAGCTTTGTCATTCTTAGAAGAAAAAAAGACCTCTATCAATAAAGGAAAGATGACCAGTCTTACAGGCCTGGCTTCAGTCCTAGGCCTATAATTCCAGACAAGCCCTTTAACCACTTTAGAGTTCATATCCTCAAATTTAAACTGAAATAGGCCGGGC